TGTGTTTTTAATTATTAAGACTGAAATCAATGTTAATTTTAGGCTATCAATTATATACGAGATGTTAAGAAAGCTTATTACGAGTTGATTGAAGGGAACGACTGGTTGGACACAAACATTAAAAATAAAATTTTATACAAATTGAATGCAACGAAAGAAAATGTTGGATATCCTGATTGGGTGCTCAATAATAATGAACTTGATAACTATTACCAATTGGTATTATAATTATGATTGCACCCATAAATTACATAAATCTAAACTTATCTGAATATAAATCTATAGAAACAAAGAGTGAATCCCAAGAAGTCTTTCGAGGCTTTTGTTTATTTTCAAATTAATAGCGCCGTAAGGATTATGAGATCAATTGGACAACCGGTGAATACCACAAATGAGTAGGATATTCATATAACTACATATTAATGTCTAAATTATTATTATCGTAATTTGATTATTTACATTCAGGTGGCCTGGCTCACCGTCCCGTGTGAACGCTTACCACCACTTCACATCCAACTCCATCAGTAAAATACATATAATTATTTTCTTGAATTTAAGATTAAAAAGTGAAATTAGCAATCAATTTTAATAATTAGACATATTACATTATTTCAAGTTATCCCTGCTACAATCCTTAAGTCGCCGGTTTTCTATAGCAAAGGACCGGCGGCTATCAACTATGGGGCCATTGGATGGGTAATTACATTCAAGAAATTTTAATTTTTAAATAAAAAAATTATTATTTATTAGTTAATTGGACACGAACTTACACATGGATTTGATGTCCGGGGTCAGTATGAATTGCCTTGTACAATTTCTGTAGTATATTGGATATTACACATTAGGTGTTAAATTCGATTCAAACGGAAATCTCAAGAATTGGTTCACAGAAGAAGCGAAGGAAAAGTTTGACGAAAAATCAAATTGTTTTGTCAAACAATACTCGAGTGAATACGTACCGGAAGTTGATAAGAATGTATGCCTAGAAATAGTGGGGTTTGGGATGTGTAAGTTCGTGTCCAATTAACTAATAAATAATA